TTTGCTCTCAGTCACCACCAGTGCTTACTTGGGACTTGGGGCTAATACTTTTACATCGCTGTGCAGTTTCAGAGCCCTAGGGTGGCGTGTAGGATTAGCGCACGATCCCAATCAGCGGTTCACACTCACCAGCTGCTCCTCGGAAACCCTATATGGGTCTCTAGTAATCAGAACCAATTCACAACAACTGTGCCTGTTACACGCTAAGAATTCATTGATAACGCAAAACAGATTGGCCCTTTAAGCATTCTCCTGCTCCTTCTCCAGTAGATGTTGTTAAGTGCTGTGGAGTCGGAGCCGACCCATAGCGACCCTGTATGAGGTTTCCGAGGAGCAGTGGGTGAGCTTGAACGGCGAACCTTGCGGCTCAAACTGACTTTGCAGTCCAGCGCATTAACCCACAGAGCCACACCAGGACTCCAGTAAAGAGAGGTGTTAATAAGTGAGGTCAGCAGTTCGAAACTACCAACGGTTCAGCAGGAGAAAGATGAGGCTTTCTGCTCCCGTAAAGATTTACAGCCTCGGAAAGCCGGTACAGGGTCGCTATGGGTCAGAATCAACTCCACTTCACAGTCAGGTAGCGGATCTGTATAGGGTTTCCAGGGAGCAGCTGGTGGTTCTGAACTGGTGACCTTGTGGTTAGCAGTTCAGCTCTTACCTTACAGTGCCACACCAGGACTCCAGAGAGAGAGAGATGTTAATAAATATGTAGTAGCCCTGATGCCGCAACACTAGGCTGCTAATGAAAGACTGGGCTGTTTGAACCCACCCAGCGGCTCCTTGGAAGTGAGGAGCGCCCACCCGTCTCTTGTACTATGGCCATATTATCAGGAGAGACCAGTTCCTGAAGAAGGACATCATGCTTGAAAATTTGGAAGGTCAGCAAAAAACAAACAAAAGGAAGCTCTCCGACAAGGTGGATTGACACTGTGTCAGCAACAGTGGGCTCAAATAAAACTCTTGTGAGGTTGGCACAGACCCGGGCAGTGGTTCACCTGATTGTGTGCATACGGTCGCCATGTGCAGGACCTGATTCAGTGGCACCTAACTGCTGGTGGGAGAAGGGGCTGGCAGTCTGTTCCTATGATTATAGCCTAGAAAGCCCTGTGGGTAGTTCTACTCTGGTTCTATTCACATGAGGTGGTTGTGACTCAAGCATTGACTCTCTGGCACCAAACAACAGCATAAAACATGAAGAACTGTGAGGGGATTACACATGGTGGGAGCTCATTTAGATCAGAAAGGTCCTCTAGTCCTAGTGAGGACCGAGAACGACAAAAAGCACTAGGAGGTGGAGCAGTGCATACCTGTAACACTAGGTGGTTGCCTTTTTATTACTTATTGTGGCACAGTGTATGCCCACTGAGGAACACGGGGACTCCGTAGGATAAGCACTGGTCTGTGACCCACAAGGTTGGTAGTTTGAGCCCACCAGTCTTCTTGGGAGAAAGATGAGGCTTTCTGCTTCTGCAATGATTACAGCCTTGGAAACCCTACATAGGGTCACTCACTGTGAGTCGGAACCCACTCCATGACACTTGACAACAATAACATATCCCCCACTACCCACTGCCTTCAGTTTCAACTCACTGTGACTCAGTAGGGTTTCCATGGCTGTAGAGATGTAGATTTCTGCATCTTTCTCTCACAAAGCAGCTAGTGGGTGGTGGGTTCAAACCACTGACCTTTCTGTTAGCATTAGAGTCCTTTAACCATGACACCACTGTAGCTCCGTTAATGATGATCATAGTGCTCCTGACAGAAATGCTTTCTGTGTGCCAGACACTTTGCAAAATACTTACATGTTATTGTTAGGTGCCACTGAGTCAGTACCGACTCATGGCGACCTTATGCACAGCA